TGTTACTCTCATCGAGACCTTTCATTTGAGTACAATACTCACATCAATTTTTCATATATTTATATATATATATATATATATCATATTATATATATAAATATATGAAAAATTGATGTGGGTACTCAAATGAAAGGTCTCGATGAGTGTAACATCGGGATGAGCTTATATCTTTAATAATGTCAATATTTAAGAAAGTACAGTGCAATTTAACTAAGTCACGGAAGTCACATAATGATTGCAAGGCTGCTAGTTAAAGTTATATTGGATAAAAAATATATAGTATATTGAATTGAATAAATATAAAAAGTAAAATTTGTTTCTTTTAACACCTTGAGGCCTTTCATAATCCGATTAGTTTAATGCGCTTTTATAGATGCTTCTAACGAATTAATTATCCTTGAGTTAGACTCGTTATGCAATATTAATATTTTTAACCGAGTGAATAAATAAACTAAAAGTTAAAAATGGCGTAACATTGAAAGTAACTAGAATTTTCACAACAAAATTAAAATTCTTGGTCAATCTCAATGAATAATAATTTATTTTACCTCCATTGGATACTCTGCGGGATTGAACCGTGACAAATCAATCACCGGACTAGGAGGCAGTGGTCCTAGAACGGGACTCTGTGGTATCGAATGATTGTTAAAAACGACTCCAGCTCCCATCGGATGTTCTTCAGTGCTTCTGTACCCAGTGCAAACGCACTCCGCGCTGTTGTTAGGTTGATCGGGCATGTCCGTGTTCTTGGAACCTTTGCTCTTGGCACAGTTGAACTTCAGCACCCAATTGCTCCGTTTCTTCTTCGCAGACAGCGTTGTGTGATTGCACACCTGGTTTTGATCCTTGCGCTGCTTACCTTTTAAAAAAATTTAATTAATTAATTAAAAACAAAACTAAATTAATTAATTTAAAAAAAAAGTACCAAATAAAAAACTTGAATCTTACTTTTACGCTTCACAAAGGACAAAGTCTTGGAAGTCCGCCTGAGAGATGAAACTTTTTTTTTAATAATTTTTTTATAAACTAACTTATTTGTTAAGAAAAAATAAAAAAATAGCTGGATGTCTGCTGATTTTTATCAAAATTTTACATGACATAATTTTTAATTTTTTTCATCAAATTTTTCAATTAAAAAAAAAAAATATCGTAGATTTTTTCACTGTCATTATTCAGTATGAAAACAAATTTTATATCGGAGTAAAACGACCACTCGATTGAAGATGCATTTCACAAATAATAATAAATAGAATAGTTACAGTTGGACCGCTGTCTTTCCACATGATTGCTGAGGTGCGATGATAATCTTGTCAAAGGTTTAACAAAAATCAACAAATTCAGTTATTAATTAAATTAATAAAAATTTACAACCATTCATAATTGACAAGTTGAAAATTCATTCTCACGAATTTTAGTGTCATTTATCCGCAAGGAATAAATAAATAAAAATATAAAATTTCAATAAATAATAACCAGCGAAGAAATAAATAAATATTTAGAATCACTAAAAAAAAAAAAAAAAAATAAAAGTTTAAAACCCGCGCGCTGAGCAAAAGAGACCTAACCTCTTCCAGCTGTCACGCTCGCACTACACGCACGTATTTGAAAACCGCACAGTTGACACAGTAAATAAATTGCAATAAAAGCAATAACACGGGGTAAAACGGGAGCGCTGAAAAATAACAACAATCAGTAAATGTTTTTTGTTGGATAAAAACAAGTGACAGTTTGAGTAAATATTATTGAAAAAGTTTAATTCAAACGTCAGCATGAGCCCGCGCTTTCGGTGAATTCGACCTAACCTAAACCCCGGCAAGTACTGTTGGTACCCTAGCAAAAGAGTTATCAGCTGTCACCCCGTCACGGCAAAACGTGAGAGACAAACTGAGAGCTAGGTAAGCGGGGTATTGAATACTAGAGGAAGCCGCCAGCCCGGTGAGCTACCTCGTGGACATGCGAGTGCAGACTGATTGGAGCGTGGAGTGAGGGTACTTACCCACGTCCCTCGAACGCAGAGGAGCGCGACCGCGGTTGTGGTGCCGGAGGTGGTGGTGCGGAGGCGGAGGTACAGATATGCCAGATACGGAGGCAGGAGGCTCCAATTTCCAGCTCCTACGTCCAGCTCACACGCGTGTTTCCAGAGACTGACGCCACGCCATCTACAATTTACGGTCTTCATGCGCCGGCGTCGATGCGCAGTAGCCGCCCAATCACGCTCGTCTGAAATATTTGAATTTTTTAATTAATTTTTTTTTTTTTTTAAGGCTGTTTACAATTATTTAAATTAATTAAAATTTTTTAGTGCTTTAAAAATTTTTAATTAAAATTGTCAAGCTTGAAGAAGAAATTTTATAATTAATATTTTTATTAAAAAATTTTATTTAGTTGGTTAAGAAGAAATCAGTGCTAGTGTCTATTGGTTAAGTGTATGTTTGTAGTTCCACTTAACAGCGGCTAATAAATATTTATTTATTATTGTTATTATTATTATTTTGCAAACACGTGCAGTTTTTTTACTGAACAGCTGATTTTGGTATTTTGCTTTTTATTAAGTAAAAGTGAATTTAATTTGAAAATGTCTGAACAACCTAAAACCGAATTAGAAAGAATTTTTGATATTGCTAAAAATGATGAGAGTTTAATAACAATAGTTGCTACGGTAGATACTGGTAATTATAATTTATTCTTTTATATTTACATTACATTTCATATAATGGCATTATAAAATTAATGACAGACTTTGATAATTTTTTTATTTTGTTCAAAAAATAAATTTGCGATAGAAAAATATTTTTAAAAATTATGAAAATAAATTTAGCAAGTATTTAATAACTTTTAGAATTTTTTTTTTTTTACATAAATTATGGCAAAAAAATTAGAAATAAATTATGGCAAAAAAAATTAGAAAAAAAAATTGACATGTAGAAATTTAAAAAAATAAAAAATGCAATTTTTTAAAAGTCATTTTCAATAACTATTTATTTTTTTAATAAAACTAAGTCAAATATCAGATTTTAGTATCATGTTTAAAATTTGAAAATTAATGTAACACATAATTAATAATTTTAAAAATTTTATAACAAATAAATTATGACAAAAAAAAATTGACATTTACCTAGAAATTAAAAAAAATAAAAAATGCAATTTTTTTAAAATAATTTTTTGGAATAAATCTTTTTGTTCAATAAAATTTAAAAATTGTCAAGTGACAGCTAACTTCAGTGTCATGTTTAAAATTTATCTTTTAGATAATAAATATTTATTAATTTTTATATTTTACAGGTTTTGAATGGCAAGCAATAGATGAGTGCAGAGAAAAAATATTACAAAATTTGAGAGTATTCAAAGACCGTGGAAAAATATGTTTCAACATCCCAATAGATGAATATGACAAGGTATGACACAAATAATTAAAAAAATTCCAAATAAAAATAATAATAAATTTATTTATTCAATAGGTAGAACAATTGAAGTCAGTAGACAATGTTTACATTTTAGCTGATGTAAATTATCACTCATACAACAAAGACGACAAGGAATCCTGCTTCCAGCTTCTCAGAGACTCTTTATCATCGAATAAGTCTCAATTAAACAAGAGTATAAACGCCTGGAAAAAGTTCACGAAATTTCCCGGTAAAGTGTTTCCTTCTATTAAAGAGTACGAGCGCGTAATAAACGACTACAAGGCGGCTAAAGAAGAAAAGAGGAAAGGTCCAGAGGAAGAAACTGTGAGAGGTAGAAAAAAGCGAGGCAAAGATCCTTCGTCGTCTAAAGAGACTGACATTTTATCCTACCGAGTCTCATGTGAAAGAACTGGAGTCCATGCGTTTGAGTCTCAAGAAGTCGCTGTGAAATTAGGTGGAGAATTTAATGACTTATATCACTGGCTAGTTGATTTAACTGATTACCAGCTGGAGATACTCTACAAAATTTCTTTCGCTGAGACTTTAATATTGCTACGCGTGACTACTGAGTCGATGCACCGGAGGAACATTGCTTTTTTTGGACCTACAACTCTCAGGGCGACTGTTTGTTACAATTTGTTGCGGCTGGCTAAACCTAAACCTGGAGAAATTATTATTGATCCAATGTGTGGTGGTGGATCCATTCCTATTGAAGTAAGCCTTGATACTTAAAAACTCTATTAAAATTTTAATACTTAAAAACTTTATTAATATTCTTTTTTATTTACTCAGGCCACTAAAGAGTTTCCATTAAATTACATAATTGGTGGAGACAATCATGAAAAAGCCATGGAAAGATCCAGGATGAATTTTGCAATGCTACCGACAGCGTACAAGTCAGACTTAATCCAATGGAATTTGGAGCACTTGCCATTTAAAGATTCTTCTGTGGATGCTTTTGTGACAGACATGGTAATCCATTTTTTTATTAATAATCAAGTATTTCTTTTTATGAAAATTAATTTAGTAGATATTTGAATTTTTGTAACAAATAAATTATAGCAAAAAAATTTATTTAAAAAAATTAACATGTAGAAATTAAAAATGTAATTTTTTTTTAATAATTTTTTGGAACAAATTTGTTTGTTAAAGAAAATTAAAAAATTGTCTAGTGACAGCAAAATTTAATATAATTTTATTTTTTTATAATAATAAAAAAAATTTGTTTCAGCCCTTTGGTAAGAGAATGGGATCAATGTCAAACAATCGAGTTCAATATAAAAAATATTTGCTGGAATTAGGCCGTGTCGTTAGAATGAAATATGGGCGACTTGTTTTACTGACTTACGATCGACGAAGTATTACAATTGTAAGTGTATTATTTTTTTATAATATATTAAATATCTATAATTAATTTATTTTTTGTAACTAGGCTTTACAAGCAGCTACAGATTTATTTAAAGTAAAAAAAACTCTATCAATAAGCATGGGAGGACTAAACGCAGCAGCCTACGTTCTGAAGCGTACAAATTTAGCTTACGACAGTTTTTTAACAAGAGTGACAACACTGGTGACACCGAAAGCTAGATCATCATCTTCATCTTCTGATAAATCAGAATAATAAATTTTTTTTATTTGTATATAAACTTGATTTTTTATTTATAATTTAATACAAATCTTGATCTATGAATCATGATACGAATTGCAAACGTTTAAAAATTTTTAAATTAAAAACTAGCTATCAAAGCAAGCTCGATTTTTGTTTTCATATCATGATCAATAAATCAATTAGCCTATGTTTTATTGTCAGCAAATATAACTACAAGAAGAATTTTCTTCTGCTTGTTTCCATCGCATGACGACGGCCTTGGATGATCCATTCATACTCTCCATATTTGCTGTCAAAAGTACCGTGCTGAAGCGAGCGCAATTTTAAAGTAAATCTTGGACCTAGCTCACGTAATTTTGCTTTGCCTTTTTCTAAATCAAATTCATACCTGCAAACAAAATAAAATGAAATAAATTTTAACAACAATTATTTTTATTGAAGATCAAAATAACTACCTGTGATGTCTGAAAAATATGTAATCACGCTGGTTGTGGAACGTGACAGCTCTGCGACCTTTGAATTCAGGTTGATAGTGAAACAGAGCACCCAACATGCGTCCAATAGTGTGACCTAGTCTCGTGGAAAAATTATTTAATATAACTTCTGGCCTGTGGTCTGAAATTTCTTTATGACTCCGTTTTAACTCAGGCGTTATCTTGACATTGCTGAGCTTGAACAAAGCCGTTGGACCATCTGGTAAGTGTACGACCAGCATACCATCTGAAGACAGAAAAAAATATGATAAGTATTTTTAAAAAATAATTTAGAGGATTAAAAATAAAAATGATTAATATAATTACTTGGCTTGCATTGATTCTCATTAATGACAATAATGTCAGTGAATCCTCTAGCAGTAGCAGACTTTACCATTTTTTTAACACCAGAGCGGTTTCGATAAAGAGAAATTGAGTTTGGAATAATCCGTGTAAGTTCCCTGCCGAAGATCCTTGTCTTCCTGGTGGGATTATCGCAGTAAGTTATCAGAACTTTTGGCTCGTAGTCTTTTTTATAATAATCAGCGAACTCATCGTTCATCAGTTCGGCTTTCAGCTCAGCGTTTTCCTCATCATCCAGGTCTCCACTGATCATAGTCTCATCTTTTTCTCTCAAACTTTCAATAGTATGAGTGACACCTTTTGGAGCTCCCTCTTGGATCCGCTTTTTCTTTGCAGCTTTTTTCTCCTTGACCTTCTCCTTTAGCATCTTCTGGACCTTCATCTGCCTGACGGCTTTGCATTTTATGTGATTGAAATTAGTGTCTGATGGGAATCTAACCTTCTTTTTTTTGCTCGCACTTTCACCAGATTCTTCTTTAATTTCTACATCTTCGTCATCCTGTGGTGGCTTTTTACGGCTCAATGGATTTTTACGCAAATCTTTCAACTTCATTTTTATTTTATAAAATTTATACAACGCAACAATTATCAACGACTCACGTGTGTTTACATGTGTTTCACTATTCGCACTGATATTTAAACATAACCTCAAATATTATTTAAAGAATTACACTATACATACCGTGATTGATTAGACTGTACTACTGAAAAATTAAATTTACGCGCTATTACACGTTACATTAATTTTTGAAAAATTGCATTTTTTATTCTTTAAAATTTCTAGATGTCAATTATTTTTTACCATAATTTATTTGTTAAAATAATTCTTAAAATTATCAAATATCTATAATACTAAAGTTAGCCGACGTTTTTAATTTTTTGATTTTTCTTCATTAATTAAATTCGAACAAAAAAAATATTTTTTAAAAATTGCACTTAAAGTTTTTCAAGTTTTTTACAAGTGACATTTTTTAAAAATTTTTTTTGTACCAATTTTTTTAATAAAAAAAAATTTTTTTAATTTTCAGATGTCGGCTAACTTAATTTTCATCAAATATCTGCTAAATTAATTTTCATCGTCACGCCATGGTATATAAATTAATATGATTAATATTTGCACACTTGCTTCCGCAAACTAAACAAAAAATTATTCTCTTCATACATCCTGATTTTTTTATTTAAATAAAAAAAAATTAAAAGAAGTAATAAAAATGAGCGTAAATATTTGCTCGATGACACGGGGTAAATGGTCACTTATAGCTTTTGTATTTTATTGAAAAACTTTTTCATAATCATCAATAATAAAGCTAGATTAATTTAGCGCTCAAAAAATTAAAATTTTATATTAATATCAGATATATATTACTGTTAGTATCGTAAAATAAACAATTTAAAGTTCTGAATTTTTATTCTATATTAAATAATTAATATATTACATTTTATTTACAGAAAAAATATAATAATAATTAAAAACGTTCGATTATCAAATTACGTGTTGCATAAAATATTAAAAATAGTTATTATTATCAAATTAATGTCAATAATTATAGTCATATATATTATCCTTGATTCAATCCAGGACCATGCAGTTCAATGAAACTTTCCAGAGAACGAGGAACGTACCCAGTGTAAGAAAGTCCGTACGTTTTAACGGCCTTCGCCGCCATACATTTCAGCGACAATTTTGTTTGGGTTCTTAATACTATTTCCGCTACTCCTATTCAACAGTTTAATTTATTATTCACTCAATAAATAAAAAAATATATATATATCTAACTACCTGTAGTTGCTGCATCATAAGGCGTCTTTCCTTCGCTATTTACCGTGTCAACATGAGCTCCAGCGTTGACAAGTTCCACGATAATCCCATGCAGGGTCAAAAAGTCGCTAAAAAATAATTTAGAAGTTTATATTTATTTGTATTTAATAATTTTTATAAGATTTAAGTACCTGATAGGCTTCTCGTAAGCGACTATCACGTGTAATGGAGTGTTTCTTTCGTTATCCATCGCATTAACATCTGCACCGCATTGAATTAATAATTTTGCTGTAGCACAACACGGGAATCTATTGAAATAATTTATTAGTGTAATTGTTAGTTACTTAAAAAAATTTTTTTTTAAATAAATTAAATGAAAAAAATTATTAAAAAGAAATTGTACTTATAATTTTTTAGAGCTTCTAAAGATGGAATTTTTAAATAAAATTTTCTTGTTATAATTTATTTGTTTAAAAAAAATTATAGAATGTCTCTGAATTTCAGTATCATAAATTACATACTTGCAAACGTCATTGGTATGAAAATCATCAACTGGCGTTTTAGCATTAACTGCAAGATGCAGCAGAGTCTGGCCATCACGCAGTGTCATTTTTAATGCGCATAATTTGTAAACAAGATAATGCGCTTTTTTAATATCTTCTTCGTCATATGATTTTTGATTTAAAGCCATTAATTTAACAAGAATTGTCAGAATGTACAACGCTGACGTTATGTTAGATTCTGTTTCATCCTATAAATAATAAATAATTAAAAAAAAAAAATTTAATAAATAATTTAAAAAAAAAATTCAACTTACAAGATACTGATCAATATCTTCGGCATCAGGATTACTTATCTTCAATTGATTCCGACTCAATTCAATAACACTTGATTCAAGTACATTCATTACTTGAGGAAATTGCAAGTCAACTCCTACGTGAATCATTTGTGAGAAAACCTGAACAAATAATTTTAAATAAAAATATTTTTACTTACAAAATTAAAAAATATTCAGGTAAAAAAATTATTACTTGTGCAAACCGTAAAAGATCTTTGACGACAGAAGTATTATTTTGCTGCCTCAGATGTAAAGCGTGAAGCCATAAATCAATACACCTATCAAATCTGGCATTATCAGCTAGTACAGCACCTCTATAAATAATCGGCTGTGGTACTTCTGGATTATGAGTGCCCAATATTCTCTCTCTAATAGCCAGCGATTCCATGTGAATAGCGTTGGCGTCATTCTTAATACTCTCCAGTCTTTGTAAAGTCTCGCTCTCTCTCCAGTTGTCGTAAGCCGACACGGGATCGTTTAATTTTTTACATATTATATTAGACGGATCTTCGTATCTGAAACAATCCGATAATTGATATAATTAATAAATAAATACATAGAAATATAATTAATAATTAATAATTAATAATTAAATATAAAAAATTATATATTGATGTATGTTGCCAATAAGCGTTAAATAAATAAATAAATAATCTTGATAAATAATTTTTTTCTATGAAAAAAAAAAAAAAAAATTACCGTAATTCCATGGCTTTGTGAAGATATTTATAAGCACTAGATAAACAATAATTGTCTTTATCATTAGCAAAGGATGCTCCGAGCAACTCGAAGGCCTCTATTTTATCCTCCCGACTAATATCCATCTCCTCGATAAAGCATTCAACAATATGAGCACGCGTACGCTCAGCAGCAGCTATCAGAGGTGTCATTCCATTCTCATTCTTCGTAACCTTAGCTCCAAACTTCAGTAATTCAGTTACTACGCTAACGTGACCCCACTCTGCTGCAAAATGCAAAGCTGTAGCTCCACAAAGAGCTTTAACATTAGGATCTGCTCCATGTTCGAGTAAAAATGTCACCTGTGATTTCAAAATTAATTTATAAGCTAAAAAAAATTTTTTAAAGGATGTAATGATGAAGGAAAACTTACGACATCTAAATGTCCCTTGTGAGCTGCAATCATCAGACAAGTATTATTGTACTTATTAGCAATGTGAATATCCGCGTTATGATCAATTAAATAATTGACAATATCAAGTCTTCCATCGAAACAAGCTGCTCTTAAAGGTGTGGAGTTGGTATGTGTCGGATGGTTCACGTCCGCCCCAGCTTTCACAAGAAGCTTCACGATATTCAGATGTCCCGCACCTGAAAGAAGCTTTTGCTTAAAAATTCACAATTTAAGCAACAGCCATTTTTTTAGTTTTAGTCTTGATAAATTTTTTAAATTACATAATTAATTATTATATTAAAAAAAAATAAATACCTGCTGCACACCAAAGAGCACTAGCTCCTTCAATAACATATCCGTCAAATTTAACAGTTCCTTCTTGTTCAATATCCATTTTAAATTTTTCGATAAACATTTTGACAACTCTGTTGTGACCATAACGGGCTGCTATTATTAGTGGAGTACTTTTTTGTCCATCTTCATCGAGAACTTTCTGTAAAACAAAAAATAAGTTTCATAAAAGTTGGTGAAAAATTTCATTTAAATTAAGTATGTTTTATAAAAATTTTAAATAGCCTCGTTAATTTTATTTTGACTGATGTAATATAAATTAATAAATTAATTGATTAATAAATAATATTAATAATTAAAAAATTAAGTATTGTTTTATAAATTTAGCAAAAAAAAAAAAACTAAAATAAATTTTTCTTTGTTAAAAAGATAATCAGATAAGTAAAGGTCGCCTGAATAATTGCCAACACCAAAACATTTTTATATACACACGTGTCAATTAAATTAACATTGAGCTCATATGATAGATTTAATGCCAAAACTATTTATATTATTACAATTAAATGTACAATAAAAAAAAAAAAAAAAAAAAAAAAAATTAAACAGTCTAGAGAGTTAAAAAAAAAATATTCACCTGATTAATAATTGAATCAACTTGCTGTTTACCTAGACCACTCAGGAACGCGTATAATGCCATTGACATACCCTCTCTGGCCATGTAATAAATCCGATTGATCAATGGCATCATATCATCCGTTTCGTCATCCATTGTGACTGGATAAACACCGTACAAATTTGTCAGTTTTGATTATTTAATAACTCTTTAAAAATAAAAACCACCACACCAATTTTTTCACTCAATGCCGGAGGATATTTAAATGAACAACAGCAATTAGCAATTATTAAATTTAATTGCTCTGACAATGATAACAGTGAAAATGACAAAAGAAGCAGTCAAGTTCTTTGCCCAACGACTCGTTAACCTCAATAGCCACTTTCATCGCTCTATTTACGTTATAAATACGCAGCAGAGAAGACTGAGGATCTTGGGGTCTATTTCAAGTTAATTTACACACAAAAATTTATCGATTCTGGTCTCTGTTGTAAAAATAGACAGTGACTTGTTGGGTGAGAGAACAGCAGCAACACTTGCCAACGATGTTTTTTTATTTTTCCACTCACTGACAGTCAACGTCAATCAAACAAAACTCGAAACTCGTATCAGGAGTCTAGCGAGCTAAGCTTCCGATGGGAACAAAGACTTGGTGGCTTGAAGCTCCATTTGATCTTGATGAAATGTTGAAGTGATGAAATGGACTTGAGTACTTGGACACTGCTCGCCGATTAAATGGAATTGATCCAAAGTTCCGAGTCTAGGTCTCGTGCTTAGAGATGTAGAAATTAAATTCACAAGACACTGAAATTATGTTATTAATAAATATTTGATTTAGCAGATGGTAGGTTAATGAACGTACATGTTGGAGACAAAGAACGGCCTCCACCTTTTGGGTTTAGTTGTCCTTGCACTAAACACAGAGGCTAATGTTGAAGCCTGAAGCTGAATCTGCTGCCGATGGGTGTACTGGTGATGAATAAATGATGTTTAACAGAGACTGAGAACACAAAAGGTAGTTCTAAATAGACGTGTTGCAATTTTTATTCTTGTATGTGTTTGTACGACCTTCAAAATTTAAGCTTGTGGGTGCTAAGAGTGCTATGATTTATTTTTATTTGTGACCATGAAGACAGGAGAAAAACGTATGGTATGGAAAAATAATCACTGTTGTATTTTTTTTATTTTTATTTTACAATTTGTCGGTAATGGTGAAAACTACTTTTAAGCCCGCCATTTTTGTATATATTTATACTGCAGTACAAAAATTAACGGACATCTGTCAATTTTTTATGAAGATTAAATTTTTATGATATTAAAGTTAGCTGTCACTTGACTAATTTTTAATTTTATTTAACAATTAAATTAATTATAAAAAATTATTTTTAAAAAATTGCATTTTTAATTTTTTAAAATTTCTATGATACTGAAGTTAGCTGACAGCTGTCAATTTTTTAAATTCTTATAACAAATATTAATTACAATAAGTACTAAAAGTGCTTCTAAAAATTTTCACTGATAATTTTCTATAATTTTAACATTAGGTTTAATTTATTAATTAACAACATTAGTTCTAAAAACTATCAAATATCTGCTAGATTAATTTTTATTAAATTTGTTTATTTATTTCATTAAATTTATTAAAATAAATTAAATTTACTTTAATTTATTTTTGACACAAATCAAAAATATTAAAATGTCAGCAGGAATATTAAAAACTTTAATGACTACCGAAAGCAAGATGACTAATGAAACTCCAAGTAAAATTCATAATCTTCAGGAAGAAATAAAATTATTCAGCGGATTGAAATTAATATCGTCTACAAAATTATTTAAAAAATTTTTAGACATCTGTTATTGCAATGACAGTAGAGTAAGTTATCTCTTATAATTAATAATAATACTCCAGTAATTATCAAAATCAATAAACTATAATTTTTTTTAGGAATTTCTGGTGCTGGATGACGGATTAAAAGTCCACAGATATTCCTTGGACGGTCAAAAAATCCACCCTTCATTCACATTAAATCCCAGTATGTTATTCACTAAAATAATTTGGTGCTCAAGTATTAAATCATTCGCTTGTTACGCCCTTTATGATGACACTTTTTGGTTACTAGATCAAGAGTTTAAATTAATCCAGACGATCAAAACTAAATTTAAAATCAAAAATTTATTTTTTTCATCACCTGAATTAATTGTTATTAGTTCTACAAGTGTTACGGTAATTATTATTCTCTATTTTCAATTTTTGATGATATAATAACCATCCAAATTGATTATCAATAATAATAACAATAATAATAATAATAATCAATTGAATAATCTTCAGAGATACTTGCAAAACAAATCTAAATTAGCCTACGAGTCTTACCAGACAATAAATACAATGGATACTAATTATGGACCTATATGGTCAATGCAGTATTCTTCTTTGATTGCAACGACCACTGAGTCATTGAAATTAGCTGTATCTTATTTAACAACAATGTACATCGTGCCATTGTCCTCCAAAGAAGATGAAGATGCAGGTCTTTATGTTAAATTTCTTACTACAAAACTGAATGCGACAGCTTCAGCAATCACAGCTCTTTACTTTCATCCCGCTAGTAATTGGATTATCACCGGTGATTTATCAGGCAACGGCAAGTGAATTATTAAGAGAATAAGAAAAATTTTTTTAGTGAAATTTAGTATCATTGCAAAGGTTTCAACTTAAATTTGTGCCTTTTCAAGGTTTCATATTATTCTTACCGATCGTCAATTTATTATAAGTATTTAGGCTGGATTCGAAAATTATCTCTAAATACATAATTAAGAAATTACCTTGTATCTTGTGAACTATTAAAACTTTTAAAGATATAAGCTCATCCCGACGTTACACTCATCGAGACCTTTCATTTGAGTACCCACATGGCATTTTTTATATATTTTATATATTTATATATTTCACAAATACCATATATATAAAGAATATAAAAAAATACCATGTGGGTACTTAAATGAAAGGTCTCAATTAGTGTAACATCGGGATGAGCTTATATCTTTACAAATGTCAATAATTAAGAACTGACATTTCTATCTCGTTATAACTAATGACATTTTTAAAGATATAAGCTCATCCCGACGTTACACTCATCGAGACCTTTCATTTGAGTATCCACATCAATTTTTCATATATTTTATATATTTATATACTTCACAAATACCATATATATAAAATATATAAAAAATGCATGTGGGTACTCAAATGAAAGCTCTTGATGAGTGTAATATCAGGGTGAGCATAACTTTTTCTTCCAGTTTATGCATGGACAACGAACCTAGACCGAGTATTCAATCATGTCGGGCACAAAGGAGCTATAAAGTCCATCATTTCCCATCCTTCTATTTGCGGATTCCTCACTACGTCTTCAGATGAAATTCTTCAAGTCTGGAGCTGCAATTTTAAAGACAAAACAGAGTATTTTGCAAATCTTGGATCCATAAATGCAATTGCAATTAATGAATCGTCTTCAGTAATGACTTTGGGCACGAAATTGACCTTTTTCTTCATGCATCAGCTTTATTTATTTTACTCTCCACTTTTGTAAAGATTCCTTTAATTTTTATTTCTCCTTTCAAATTTAATCACTAGAATTATTTAAAAAAAAAAAATTACACACTCTTTTTAGAACAAAGGCAAGTATTCTGCAGTCTACACAAAGTCTCAGATATCCGATGCGTATTATCGTGAGTAGTTCCGATCATTCTATCAGTGTCTTATCTTCTGCTTCTGGGAAACAAATCAACGTTATTATTCTTCATACAAATGTAGAGCCAGTTTCTATTTCTTCTAGTTCTATCAGCGGTATAATTTTTTTTGCTTTCTAAAATTTATCACCTATAAATTATATAATATATATTTATTGAAAATATTTTTTTTCTTCCAGGAGATATTTATGTTGTCCCATTAATAACCCAAAATATATTAATCCTCAATTCTAATATATTTCCCATGAAAATCAAGTAAAATATTTTTATTATTTAAAAACTTAATTAATCAATTTTATAATTTTTTATTTTCAGAAATTCTTGGACCAGTGAAAAACTCATAACTACCGTCGCAGTTTACGATCACTACAGCGAATTTATAATTAATCGTATAATAATTAATTATCACTATACTTAAAATTATTAAAAAATAATTTTATTTTATTTATAAATTATTTAATGAATTTTTAGAGACCCGAACAATAAATCCCATTAGTGTGCGCATTTTCGCTGGGACAAATAAAGGCGAGCTGGTGTCTATCGACGAATCTACCGGAAAATTCCAACAAATTATCCAAGTAATTAATTTACAAAATAAATTTTGGGTAAATATAATCAAAATTTCAAAACTTAGGCACACAATGGACCAATTAAAAAATTATGCATCTCCAATAAGTCTCACCATATATTTTCGATTGCTGAAGATTGGTGTATAAAATTTTGGAAAATATTTCCTTATATCACAAACCCTCTCGCTTTATCATATTGTATTTATTTAACTACTCCAGTAATTAATATCGCATCTGTAGGGTAAATTTTTATTTATAATAATAATTAAATTATTATTAATTACATTATATAATAAATTAATTTATATTTTATTTTATTTTATTAATTATTCTAAAAGATTTTCAGTTTGTGTAATCAGCGCAAATGGCTCAAGAGATCAACTTTTTATGTATGATGTCAAGAAGAAAAGTATTTAAAAATTTTTTTATTAATTATTAAAGAAGAAATTTGTTTTATAATTAATTATTATTAATTTTTTAGTAAAATATGAAAATAATTTATCAAATGATCATAAAAAACGAATTTTAGACATATCAACTCTAGAATCTTTAAAAATTTGCGCAACTTCTTCAGAAGATTTCACTATAAAAATTTGGAGCGAACAAAATATTCTTCTAAGAGTAAAAAATATTTATTTATTTTTTATCTATATTATTAAGAGAATAAGAAAAATTTTGTTTCCTGGATAGTCATATCGGAAATACTCTATCTCTAGATATATAATTAAGAAATGACCTTGTATCTTGTGAACTATTGACATTTTTAAAGATATAAGTTCATTCCG